AAAATCTTAAGTTTGTAATTTAATTTAATTTTTTTAAAAAAAGACCTCACCCAACAAATATGACCTGATTTAAAGTTCTGAATGTTCTTAATCTTTAAAAAGCAATAGGAAAAAAAGTAAGCTTCAAAGCGGTTTAATACCAGGGTACAGTCAAACCGTAAGCCCATAAAAAGATGACATTAGCAGCACCTGAACTTGGTGGAATCTTGCAACTCTCAGCTGCAACCACAAAAGCACCAGTTTCTGTTGTCTACTCATACAAAAATAGCTGTCCATGTATAGGTGAATTCAAGATCTCTCCTTTCTCCAGAGATTTTGGTAGTCTAGATCAAGCATCCAGTTGTTATTTTCAGCTGAAATGTCTCCTGCTGTCTGCCCCAAAAGTTTTTTTTTTTCAGGAGGCAACTGGACTTTCTGGTTTTTCTTTGAAGATGTTTCACTTCTCCTCCAAGAAGCTTCTTCAGCTCTGACTAGATGGTGGGGAATGGAAGAATTTACATTCCTTGCAGACGGCTGGTCATTTGCATCTTTTTAGAGGATTATTGAAGCACTGTCAGAGCTGAAGAAGCTTCTTGGATAAGAAGTGAAACATCTTCAAAGAAAAAACAAGAAAGTCCAGTTGCTTCCTGAAAAAGCTCTTTGGGGATAACCTGGATGACTGAGAATCTCTACAGACTGCCACTGCCTGCCATTGTTCACTGGAAGTTTTGCCATGTTTTATAGGAATTCAACCAGACCCTTAATATGTTATGTGAACCAGATCATCTGGTTAAGTTGTTAATAAGGTTTTATCTGGGAGTAGTATGTCAAACCAGCAATTTCATTTTGTGAATCAGGGTTGAAGGTTTCACTCGGTGTTGAATGACCTGTCATGGTTGATCCAAGTGGCCCAGGGAATGCACATGGCCTAAAGAGATGGCTAGGCAGATGACAGCCCCCTCAAACTGAAGCCCCAGCATTTCCCCCTCCCAGGAGCTTAGCTGCAAAGGAAGCAGCTCTAATGCACCAGAATGCGGAAAGTTGCAAAAAAACAAAACAAAAAAACACATTCAGAGGCACCAAGAGATGAGGTGCAATGACTAGATGCCACCAGCAGGGGGAAGCAGATTTGACACAGTACAATAGTTGAAAATCTGCACAGATGAATCTCGAAAAAGGAAGCTGAGTGTGTTAGACCCAGGGTGGATAAAAATCTATTTTTTAAAAAAAAGAATAATCTGATTTTTTTATTTAAATTTGATTTTTTTATTTTTATCAAATTTATTTTAATAAAATGCCTTTGGAGTAAAAATCTATCTAAAGATAGTTTTTTATTTAAGATACATTAATAATTTAGTTTATTCAGCATGAAGTGGAGATTAGTTATGTACCAGGAGCTTGTATATTCTGCAATATTTATATTTTTGGTAAACTCCTTCAATGAATATAAGCTCTGCAAGTTAAATAGGAAACCTTCATTTTGTTTGCAAAGACTATTCACTGCTCAAAAAAATAAAGGGAACACAAAAATAAGACATCCTAGATCTGACTGAATGAAATATTGTTAACTACTTTGTTCATTACATAGTTGAATGTGCTGACAACAAAATCACACAAAAAGTATCAATGGAAATCAAATTTAGCAACCCATGGAGGTCTGGATTTGGAGTTACACTCAAAATTAAAGTGGAAAAAAACACTACAGGCTGATCCAACTTTGATGTAATGTCCTTAAAACAAGTCAAAATGAGGCTCAGTAGCGTGTGTGGCCTCCACGTGCCTGTATGACCTCCCTACAACGCCTGGGCATGTTCCTGATGAGGTGGCAGATGGTCTCCTGAGGGATCTCCTCCCACACCTGGACTAAAGCATCTCCCAATTCCTGGACAGTCTGTGGTGCAACGTGGCATTGGTGGATGGAGCGAGACATGATGTCCCAGATGTGCTCAATTGGATTCAGGTCTGGGGAACGGGCGGGCCAGTCCATAGCATCAATGCCTTTGTCTTGCAGGAACTGCTGACACACTCCAGCCACATGAGGTCTAGCATTGTCTTGCATTAGGAGGAACCCAGGGCCAACCGCACCAGCATATGGTCTCACAAGTGGTCTGAGGATCTCATCTCGGTACCTAATGGCAGTCAGGCTACCTCTGGTGAGCACATGGAGGGCTGTGCGGCCCCCTAAAGAAATGCCACCCCACCCCATGACTGACCCACTGCCAAACGGGTCATGCTGGAGGATGTTGCAGGCAGCAGAATGTTCTTCACGGCATCTCCAGACCCTGTCACGTCTGTCACATGTGCTCAGTGTGCACCTGGTTTCATCTGTGAAGAGCACAGGGCGCCAGTGGCGAATTTGCCAATCTTGGTGTTCTCTGGCAAATGCCAAACGTCCTGCACAGTGTTGGGCTGTAAGCCCCACCTGTGGACATCAGATCCTCATACCACCCTCATGGAGTCTCTTTCTGACCGTTTGAACAGCCACATGCACATTTGTGGCCCACTGGAGGTCATTTTGCAGGCCTCCTCCTGTCCCTCCTTGCACAAAGGCGGAGGTAGCGGTCCTGATGCTGGATTGTTGCCCTCCTACGGCCTCCTCCACATCTCCTGGTGTACTGGCCTGTCTCCTGGTAGCGCCTCCATGCTCTGGACACTACGCTGACAGACACAGCAAACCTTCTTGCCACAGCTCGCATTGATGTGCCATCCTGGATGAGCTGCACTACCTGAGCCACTTGTGTGGGTTGTAGACTCCGTCTCATGCTACCACTAGAGTGAAAGCACTGCCAGCATTCAAAAGTGACCAAACCATCAGCCAGAAAGCATAGGAACTGAGAAGTGGTCTGTGGTCACCGCCTGCAGAACCACTCCTTTATTGGGGATGTCTTGCTAACTGCCTCTGCTTTCCACCTGTTGTCTATTCCATTTGCACAACAGCATGTGAAATTGATTGCCAATCAGTGTTGCTACCTAAGTGGACAGTTTGATTTCACAGAAGTGTGATTGACTTGGAGTTACATTGTGTTGTTTAAGTGTTCCCTTTATTTTTTTGAGCAGTAAATAATCTACCTACCAGCAAGAATGAGTCCTTACATTTAAAGACCGCCTGTTAGCAGGCACCCACTCACCTGTTGCCCGCCACATCCACCACCACGTTGTGTGACTGCCACATCACCAGCTGTCCCGTTAAAGGGAATGGGACTGTCAGTGAGTCAACAGCGGGTCAGAGGAGGAACTGCTGTGGGACAGAGATGACAGTTGCTCTTTCAAAATTATGATTTAAATCGAGTTGATTTAAATTAAGCCTTTTTACTAGTGATTTTAAATAATGATTTAAACTGTGATTTAAAACATGATTTAAATCAATTTAAATCAAATCCACCCTGGTTAGACCCTTAGAAGAAATTAGGTAACTTTCGCAAACCAGTTGTGTCTTTTATTAGGACCAATCTGTGCCCCAAGCCAAGAATCCAGAACTCTTTAGGACAGGGGTCTCCAACCTTGGCCTGGAGGACTTCAAGTCCCAGAATTCCCCAGCCAGCTTTGCTATGTTGAAGTCTGCCAGGCTTCAAGTAGCCAAGGTTGGAGAGCCCTTTTGGAGGCAGGGTGGAGTTGCAGACGAAGATCGCATCGTATCAAGTCATGGCATCTTACAGTTGAAGCCACAACCCCAATTTTTCAGAAGTGGTGCCTCTGCCTGGAGCTGCCCTTGTCCTGCTGCAGGGTGGGTGCTGAGAGCGCCCCCTGGCCCTGGCCATGTCGCCCCTGCTGGGAGGGATTGCCAGGCCCAACGCTTGCTTGGAGCACAAGATGCCAAGGCCCCAGGACACCCCTTGCCTTGGTGCTTATGGACAGTGAACTTCTGGACAGGGATGACCACCACGGGGCACCTCTTGAAGCGCTCCTCTCCCCCGATTTCTGGCATCCACATCGAAAGGGGGATTCTCGACCCAGACTTTTTTTCATGATTAGATTGTCTTAATGGCTAAAAGCAGATTAAAGGCTCAGCTCCCCTCCCTTAGCCAAGAAAGCCAGCTGGGAGATTTTGGGCCAGTCCCCCTCCTCTCTTTGCCCCCTTCCCCCCCCCCCGAGATGTATTATGGGGAAAATGTGAGAAGAAAAGTGTGTTGGATACCTTTTCCCCCTACTTGTAAGAATAAAAAAGTGGGATACAAATACATAAAATAATGTACTTCGGAATTCTGAATTGGCGTCTGAGGAAAAGTGCAATAGCTGCCTTATTTTACTTGCAGCTACTGAAGAGGTTGATAAGGGGGGGGGGTCGGTATTTATGGGCAGTGGGCGTGGCATCATCATCCAAGCCCCGCCCATCTCACACCTGCAGGAGACCGACGGACCATCATTTCCCCAAACTTTTGGAAACTTTTCTAGGCGCGTCTGAGGAGACATAAAATGCGCGCCGCTTCCTTTTCCCTCCCGTCATTTCGTCTCTTCCTGCGCTGGTCAAAACACCTAACTGCCCCTCCCCCCCAAAAAACCTGCCACTCTCGAAGTCCCCAGGGACTCGGGGCTGCTTCGCCCAGAAAGCGGCTGAGGCGCCGGATGAGCGGGCGGCGGGCAGAGCAGCCCCCCCCCCCCCCCCCACGTGGCTTCTCCTTCCAGACGGAGCCCGAGGCTTCGTCTTCGGGTTCCAGAGGCCCGCCGGGCAAACGGGGGACCGGGCGGTCTCCTCGGCCGCGAAGGGGCTGGGGCGAAACCCAGCTGCTGCCGCCTCGGGGCTCCTTCGCCCCCCGGAAGGCCCCCTAGGCCTCTCCTGCAGGCTTCCCCGGCCAGTTCCCCCTCGCCAGGCCGGCGTCCGCCAGCAGCGCTCGGCACGCAGTCGGCGGCGTCGCGGGAACCCCGGAGGCTGGGCGGAGCCGCCGCCGCCCCTCGCCCGCCCCGCCGCTCTTCTCCAGCCGGCCAGCCAGGAGCCGCCGCGGCCGCGCCCTCCACGCCGACGGCCGGCTCGCAGGGGCGGGGAGAAGGGGCGGAGAGGCAGGCAGGGAGGAAGGGAAGGAGGGGACCCTCCGCCGCGCCGCCTCTCCACAAAAGAGCCCAGGCCCGGCCCGGCGGCTCGCAGCGGTGGCGGCCCGGCGGGGCTCTTTGTTCGCCGGTCGGGCGGCCCGGGAGCAGCAGGCGGCGCAGGCGGACGGAGAGGCGGGCCGGTGGGCGGCGCAGAGCAGGAGAGAGCCGCGGCCGGCGGGCATGAAGGGGCGGCGGGGCGCCCTGTCCCGCTCCGCCGTCCTCCCGCAGCGCCCTCCGCAGTGAGCCTCGGCGGGGGCTCCCGGTCGTCCTCCTGCGGTCCATGGCGGCGGCCCCCGGGCGGGGATGGCGGGGCCGGTGGGCGTAGGCAGCCCCCCGGGCGCCATGGCGGAGTGGCGGCAGTGCGGGCGCTGGCTGATCGACTGCAAGGTGCTGCCCGCCAACCACCGCGTGGTCTGGCCCTCGGCCGTGGTCTTCGAGCTGGCGCAGGCGCTGCGGGACGGCGTGCTGCTCTGCCAGCTGCTGCACAACCTCTCGCCCGGCTCCGTCGACCTCAAGGACATCAACTTCCGTCCGCAGATGTCGCAGGTAGGTCGCGCTCCCGGGCGGCGGCGGCGGCGCCTCCTCCCCGGGCACGGCGAGCGGAGCTGACCGGCCGCCTTCCCGCAGAGCCGCCCCTGCTTCCCTCCCGCCGGGCCGAGCGAGGGGAGCGGCGGGGACCCTCCGCGCGGGCTCCGGGTAGTGCGTGCCGAGGGTCCCCGGGTGGGCGGCACCTGCCGGGGCTTCGTCCGGCGGGGAAGCGCGGATCGGGGATGCGCCGCGGGAGGGCGGAGGGCTCCGGTCCGGCGGCTCCTTCCTCGGCGGCCGCTTCGAAGTCGGGCCCCGAGTGAGCCGGCTTCGTCGCCAGCCGTCCGCTGCTCTCCCCGCAGGGCCCGGGTTTGCCGGCCAAAGGCGGCTCGGTGCCTCTGCTGCTTGGCCAGGCCGGCCCTCGGGCTTTGCGGCGGGGGAGTGCCCGGGGAAGGAGGGCCCGACGCTGGAGCCTCCCTCCGCTCCAGGCTTCTGGCTCAGGGGTGGGGGGGGGGTCGCAGGGGCAGATTCCGGGAGCCTTTTACGGGGAGTGGGGCGGTGCTGCCTTCCGGCCCCTGAGCCCCGAGAGGAGTTGCAGCATTTGGGACTTTCCACCCAGGACCGTTTCACAGAGCGGGACTGCCCGGAGGCCCGGAGCTGATGCTCTGTGCAGTCCTGGCTGGGGTGGGGGGGAGGCTGCTCCCCAGAGCCCAAATCTGAACCTACCCAGGTTTCAGCGAAGCCCATGTTGTAATGGTGAGAGGTTTCTTGCAAGACAGGATGTGAGGGGAAGGGGGGCCCTTGTCTCAGGGGAGACCCTGAGGGCCTGGGTGGGGTGAGGGGTCCCTGCTGTGGGCCCAGGAGCAGCTGCATTTGTGGTCTGGACTGTGGACAGGCAAGGGGGAAGTGAAGGTCATCCTTTCAAAATGTGTGTGTGTGTGTCTCTGTGCTTGTGCAGATAAATCCTGCCATTCATTCACTTGTGAATGAATCTAATCGCTGGAAAACACCTTCAGCCTGGCAGAGAGGAAGGCCGAGAAGGGTCTCTCTCGCCTCTAAATCAGTCCTGAGGGAGAGTCCTGCTTTTTGGCAAGAACTGGCCCTTCCCGGAAGGGTGGAGGCTTCTTCCCTAGGAACACGCAGTGTCAAAGTGGGGTGCTGCCGACCCAGCCATTGGTCCACTTATCCATGCATTGGCCACGTTGCTCTCCACATATTTGCTCCACAAACGTTTGCTGGGTTAAAGTTTGAATCTCTTGTGCCCAGAAAGCAAGGAAAACACAGGAGAGATAATTCAAGGAAGTAACCCCCCCCCCCCCCCCCGAAAGCCAGGAATCTGGGTTAGTGTTCAGCATTAAGGTGGTCAGTTTTTCTCCTCTGGGCTTCCTAGAGACAGGCAAGCCTTGATGGAGAGACAGTCTGAAAGCTGTCCAAGCAGAGGAGGCACTAAGCAAAACGCAGAAGGCTGAAAGAAGGGGGGGGGGAGAGCAGGTAGAGGATGGGAGTCATTACTGGGCTGCCCCCCTGGTGAATGAGCCCCAGAGTCTCCTTGGCAGCAGCTGATGGACTCTGCCTAGTTTGTGTGGTGGTGCAATATTTGAGCAGGCCTTGCTGATTGACAACTGCCTTAGAGCCAAGGCGGGGGGGGGGGGTGGAGAATGGCCTGAGGGGGGTGGCAGCCTGGCAGGGTGGAATTGTTGTTTGGAAGGCAGAGCAGCCTCCTGTCTGTGTTTGCTGCGCTTCTCGCGCATCGGTTGGCTTAAAGCTCTTCTTCTCAATCCTGGCCCTTGGTCAGCTCCCTGCTCTGCCAAGCAAAGGTGTCACTCTTCCCTCCCACCCCTCCCTCCATCAGAGAGGGATTCATATTTTAAAGAAAAGGAGAGGGTGGGTGGGTGGGGGCAGAGGACGCTCCCAAGGCTGAATCCAGGATGAAACTTTTAAGCATGAAACTTTTATCAGGCCGACAAAGGTTTATAGGCATTTTAAATTTGCTAGAATTTGCCTAGAAATTAAAAATGCAGACGTCAAAGAATTTGCGATTGCTACTTTAGCCCGTCCCTCTGCCCTTCTGCGGGGATGGGGCCCTGCAGCTCAGGTCCCTCAAACCCAGGCTTTCCACTCAAAAAAACTTGCCACTCAGTTCACTGGCAAGAAGACTCCAGTTCTTGGCCATCCAGTCTGGTAAAGCGGCTGTGTTCTCAGCCACCAAAAATGGGGGAACCCGGCTGACCTCTCCTCCTTTTTTCTCCCTGCGGGAGGCCTCAGTCTTGGCAAAGGGTCATCCATGGAGCCCTCCAGTTGGCCCTGGAGCTTCCCAGGAGGGGCACCAGGCTCACAGTGGTGCGTCCTTCCCTTCCCAAAGGGCTGCAGGGCACAGTCCGTCTCTGCTGCCCATGAGGTTTCCTGAAACCCTAAAAATGTCCCGGTGGGAGAGGGGTTGGGGGCTGCAGGAGTTCCACAAAAAGGGCGTGAATCTGCGGGAGGGCAGCTGCCCCCTTTCTGACTGACTGGGGGGGTCCCCGGGTGTCCTGGAAGCATTTGGGGCCCCTTCCTTCTCCCCAAGGCTGGCTGTTACTTGCCTGCGGAGCTTCTGCCTCATTTCCCAGGAGGACTGCTGCCCGCCTCCCTCTTTAGCTATGGCACTTGGCGTGCGTGTGTCCGTGTGTGTGTGTCCCCGTGTGTGTGTCCCCGTGTGTGTGTGTGTGTGTCCGTGTGTGTCCGTGTGTGTGTGTGTGTGAGAGAGAGAGAGAGAGAGAGAGCAGCCCCTGCCCTTTCTGTGCCATCTGTCAAAAATGGTGTAGGGTCTGCTTGGGTGGGTTAAATCATAATGAAAATTAGAATATCTCGTATAAAATGATGGAAAAATAGTCAAATGAATGTTTAATAATTGATATTATATAAGCGCAAGCTAGATCGATAAGGTGAGAATTTATATAACTTGTGAGTAATGGTAAAAAAAGGATAGCACAAAAGATTGTAGCCAACTGACACACTGTATGTATATAATTGAAAGATGGTTTTATGTTTTTATGTTTTGTTCGTATGTTTGTTTTAAAAAATAAAAACTTTGTTTTAAATAAAAAAAAACGGTGTAGGGTCTGCTTGGGTGGGTGGGGGGTAGATTAGATGACCTACAAGGTCTCTCCAACTCTTTTAATCTGTATCTCTACCTGTGCAACTCTTTGGCCTCATCCCTTGCCTGATGCCTGCAGTTGTGGCAGCCATGTTGCTGCTAGCACACATGGAAGCCTTTGCACGGATGCCCATCCTTTTCTGTGGTGTGTGTAGAAGCACATTCCTTTGAACCCCTGGTCGGTTGGGAGTGGGGTGAGTTGCCGATGTTGTAGGTCACCATATTGAAATTTGGAGCAAAATGCTACATTTTAATAGAGCTGCCTCCTCGCCTTTTCTCCTGTCCAGCTAAGCTTGAACCTTTAATACGCACTAAAGTGTGTGTGGAGCCCTTTCCTCCCCCTGCAGACTCGGGCTCTGCATTCCTTGCACTTCTCTGGAAGGAGCAATAAGGACGACCACCACAACAGTGTTTGCATAAGTGCAGCAGCCACACAGCTGAAAAAGGCGGCCTGCTCTCAGAGCTGAGCCCTGCCAGGGGCGAAGGAGCTGGTCTCTTCCTGCTGGGGATTAAGCCAGGAGGGGGGCTGTTTCCGTCCCCCACCCCACCCCCGCTGGCTGTGCCTGGAAACCGGCTGCTGCCCTGATTAAAAGGTCATAAATAAATAATGGCTGGGCCGTAAGAACCTTTGATCCGTCCTGCTGATGGGGGGGGGGGGGGGGGGGGGGGCTCCTAGATCCGAGAGCCCTCCTGACTGGCTGAGACCTCTCCTAATCCCAGCAGAGCTGGGGTGGGGGGGCTGGGAGATCCCTGCCTGGAGGAGGCTGCCCCGTGTGGGGCTTCTTCTGCGCTAATGGGCTTCCAGGAAGGCAGGGAACGTCTCTGGCCCAGAAGCTGCTCTTAGACTCCAAGTTGTCCTTGGCTTTTGGCCGCTGGCCTGGGCTCCACGCCCTGCTGCAGACTCCCAGGTCGGCCTTTCTTCTCTCTTAGCCAGGAGAGGAGGTGACCCAAAGGAAGAGCTGAGTGAGGCTGCTCTCAAACATGTGCGATTCCATCCCTGCATTAATAAATTGACAAAAGATCTGCATGCTTTATGCATGCCAGGCTCTGACACCGAAAGAGAAGCGAGTACTAGAAGACCTACAGATGCCTTGAAAGAAGAAAGTGGAATGATTCAGCCTTTGGGAGTCAAAAAGCCTTGGAGACCCGCTTCAATTCTCCTAGAAGTCTTCTTTAAATCTTCCTTTGCTTGGCTCTGCCCTCCCTGTTATGTGCGTAGGCGTTCTTCCCTCTCCTAACTCCTCCCTCCTCTTCCTCCACCCCCTCCATCTTCTCTTTGTTGAGTTTTAGATTTGACAGTCATAGTCTAACTGTGCCGGGGCACTCACTGCGCATAGGCCCTCCTCTGTGGGATTTTGACAACTGTTGGTTGACTGCAAAGGTAGTTTCCAGACAGCAACACACCAGGCTGTCCCTGTTCCAAAATGGGCTGGTCTTGCATGCACACCATTTGCACCGAACGCAGCATGTGGCAGGGATGCCACTAAGGCTCATAGCCTTGTCTGCACCTTCTGCATATGACGAAAAAGTGTTCTGGGGGAAGCATTGGAGGCCAACATCTGATGGTGCCCTTGGCATAGGGAGGATTGTAGCTTGGTATGTAGGCAAACTGCAGACGCTACAAGGAGGGGCTGGAATGGGATTTTAATAAC